CAAGAAAAGTCGCAACATATTCTTAATTCACCCAGGAATAAACAAAATTGTTTAAGAAAGGTTGCAGCATATTCTTAATCTACCCAAGAATAAACAAAATTTAGTCAAGAAAACTCGTATTATATTCTTAAATCACCTAAGAATCAACAAAATTAGCCAAGAAAAGTCGCAGCAAATTCTTAATTCACCTAAGAATAAACAAAACTAATTAAGAAAGGTTGTAGCCTATTTATATCCTCTTTAGACGAGTCCTTTGGTGATGTCTATGTCCGTTTGTCCGTGTGCGTTCGCTCGGGAAGATAAATTATTCAAGGTCCGGCTCAACTCTCCTTATATTTAATGCATCATTCAGATACCAGGTCGAAAATACCTTTTATTGCAATCCAATTAGAGTTAATTACCTCTAGTTCCTCCTCGTTCATTTTGTTCGTAATCAAATTCCTCTTCGCATATTAATCTTACTCATAAGCTAATGTTCTCTCTTCTACGTGTTCATTTTAGTTTTGTATAACTTTCTTTTGCCGTATTTTCTCTCTCTCTTTATTCTCTCTTGTTATATCTAATTTTATGTATGTTTTGTCTCACACAAAGCGTGGTATAATAAGTCGGAATTACGAAGGAATCTAGGTACAAAATGTAGTCAACAGAATACTAATAGAATGTGGAATAGAACTAAAACGAGGCTAAAAACGGAGGGAGAAAATAAAATACAATTGTGATAAAAACGAAAAGGAAAAAACGGGAACGAAAGAATGATTCATTGAAAATATGGATATCATATATGAATATCTATTTATCTATCTACACACACACACACACACACACACCACACACACACCACACCACACACACACACACACACACACACACACACACACAACACACACACAACACACACACACACACATACATATATGTATATATATACATACATTCACACACACACATATATACGTAACGTTAATGTACATAACGATCTTGTACTGGTGACCCCCTTAGTAGGTTTCAGCTGTTTCTTAAGTTAAGCCTTTAGTGAAACTTGATATAAATTTAGCTATATGTATATGTTGTATTACCTTTTGCAATAGGCGCAGAGATAGGCATTTTCCAATCATAATTACCATCAATGATACCTCTATTGAATTTGCGAATGAATACAGATACGTAGGTTTTCTGATGACCTCTTGCAATGACGAGTCAAAGCGGGTTTAGAGCTTATACAGAGGCTTGTGCATAAGAGCAAACGTGTATTTTCTTTTTTTTTTACTTTTTTTTTTTTTTACTTTTTTTACTTTTTTTCTTTTTTTTCTCTATTACATATTGCACTGTAGATGTTAGGTCTCCTATTTACTAGCTCTTGTATATCATTGCATTTTTTCTGTGCAACACAGGAGTCTCACCTCTGTAGAGCTTAGATGCAAGACAATTGTGAGCTTACTATTACTGAAGCAATCAGACAATAAAATTGCAAAGAAACTTGCGAGTGTAAATAGCTTTTACAACTATTTTTAATGTATGGAAATAACTATCATATTCTTCGTAATTCCTTTCAGATCTTTCCATCTTTTAATCACATTTTATGCCATGTTTTACAACAGTTTTATACCACGCTTGTAAAGGATATTTTATAGTGTTTTCTGCATTAAAACGTTAAAACTGTCTATAAACTGCGTGTGATGAATGTATCTTACATGAAATAAGGTTTACCATTATTGTTTTTATTTTTATTATTATTATTGTATATATTATATATTATTATATATATATATATATATATATATATATATATATATATATATATATATATATATATATATATATATATATATTATATATATTAATATATATATATATATATATATATATATTATATATATATATATATATATATATATATATGTACACACACACACACACACACACACACACACACACACACACACACACACACACGTATATATATAGAGAGAGAGACACACACACACACATATGCATATTTATATTTATATATGTATATGTGTGTGTATATGTTTGTGTATGTCTTATACATAGACACATACATACATACACACCCTTGAGCAGACAGGACAGGGAACACCCAGCGAGGCCAATTTTAGTGTTCAAGGTCAAATGGAAACCGGTTTCTATCGCCACATCACAGTCAACGCCAATATGGATTTTGCGATATTTTTATTTAACGAAGTGTAACAGTGGTATTGCATTGTTCATATGTGTTCAGTTATTGATATTCGTTCGCTGTCGCAAGTTCGTAATCTATTTTTTTGTTATATTTGGATTAAATTCGATATTACCGAGTGGAATTATAGCGTTTGTGAGTGATATATAGTACGTATATATCAATAATCTATGTTCATAGATTTGACTCTATGAGTGTATGTCTTTATGCGTAAATGTTCTGTGTACATTGATGTACGCTTTTTTATGTATGTGTATGTATATGTGTGTATGCTGTGTATGTGATGAGCGTGTATGTTTGTGTATGCTTGAGTGTGAGCGTGTATGTGTGTGCATGATTGAGTATGAGCGTGTATGTGTGTGTATGTGCTTGAGTGTGAGCGTGTATGTGTGTGTTTTTATGTCTTCGTGTCTGTGTCTGTATTTGTAACGCACACAGGAACGGATCCGATGACCTTGAGTATTGGTGTCACTCTTGAGGAGATATCGATTGGCCTCGGCAGGTGCGGCCGCGGTGAAGGTCGACCTCGATCACATTAGCTCGAGTTGTAACTTGTGTTCATAAATTTTATTTCCCTTTTCTTTTTCTCTTTTTTTGATACATCCCCTTCTTGTATATTCTATAATTTTATTTATTTTTTTCTTCCTCTCCCTTCGTTTTCTCTCTGTTTTCCATTTCTTTTTCTTTTATTATCATCATTATTTTTTACTACCCCCGACCTTTCTCCTCTTCCTCCCTTTCTTATTCTTTTTCTTCATCCTCATTTCTTCTTCTATTCTTCATTCTCAGTTCCTTCTCATTTTTTTCTCCGTCTCTATTTATTCCCCCTTCCTTCTCTTTAGCCTCTCATTCTGGTTCTCCTAATCGCACTTCTCTATCCTCTCATTTTTTTCTTCTTCCTTGTCCTCCTCTCATCATCACCACCACCACACCATCATCATCATCATCATCACCACATTCATCATCACCACAACCATCATCATCATCATCACCACCACGATCCTCC